ATTTCTGGCGTAGATAGAGGCAGGAAAACAATTACCTTGGTCAGGGAAAACTCCTTGTCTGGACATGTCTTCCAGTGTACTCCTGGGAGGTTTGACCACAAAGCAACCCGGCGTGAATATATTTTTAACAACCGGTTCATTGGACTAAGTGAACATGGAGTTGTTTCCTACAAACTTTCTATATCCAAGTCATCTACGTTTGATCAGCCATCAGTCGGCAGTTATAGGAGAACTTATTTTGAAAAGGTCTGACGAGATCTAGGAGGATACACCTGCTTAAATCTCCATGACCTCCTGGATCTGGACTCAATTTGCGGACTGTTGTAAGCCGTAACCTTTCAAACAGTAACTAATAACACCCTTCCGATTCCATGAACGACCAACGAAATTTACTCCTCCTGGCACGCGCAAACTAATATGACATAGACAGTCATCTTGGAATCAGTGGGGTTCACTAAGAGCCCTACTAGCTGGCTGGCGCACAAAGACATTCTCAGCAGATGCACCGTAAGAAGCAGTAGTGAAAGAGTAAACTGCCAGACAACTGTGCAGAACTCTGGAGGGGAATCACGGAGTAGCGTGCTCTCTGATGAAACGGAAGAGCGAAGACCCATTAGGTATATAAAACTGTAGAAAGAGGTTCTTGATACTAACTCCAAGGCACAAAACCTACTAGCTCAGTATTTTCTACACTACTGTCGGCAGGATAGGACAGCAGCATATTTTTCTGACATTCGTACTAAAGTTGAGCTTTCTATAACTTGGCGAATCTTAAAGAACTGGAATCCGATTAAGTCTTCAGGAGCTGATGGAATTCATCCTGGAGTGCTTTCGGAGCGCCAGTGCTCTCAGGGCCTCACAAAAACCTCTTCAGATGCTCGTTTCTAAAAGGCAGGTCAACGTCTGATTGGAAGTCGGTGGTTGTTGTCCCAGTGTATAAAGATGCAAAAAAGCTAATTGCCCATAGCTATAGATCAATCCCCCTGATCTCTTCAGCTGCGAAGGTCATAAAAAGGCGTAATAAATGACTCATTTCTTGATTACTTGCTTGACAATTCAATCTTAAGTGACCGTCGATAGTTTTCTGCCTGAAAGGTCATATGACGACAACTTGTTGATGGCTTGGAGTAGCTGGACTCCCTCTGTCAAGCAGGGAAAGTATATTCATGTTGGTTTAATTAACGTTTCAAAGACCTTTGAAAGGACAAAACATGATATCCTTTGTAAGAAGATCCAGCTTTTGGGTACACATGGAAATTATCGACTTGGACGAGAAACTGTCTCTGCACTATGTTGAAATTCGGTGGGAGTTGACTCCTCTTTATCCAACTGGTTCCAGACGTTTATTGATGTGCCCCAGGGCCCTGTTGCACGTCCAGTTTCTCCCTTTGCCTTTGCCAATTATCTGCCAGGATCCCTCATTCCCGATTCACTATCATATGCCGAATATCTGGAGATTTGGAGGGAAATAGGGGGGTGCTTACACATTTTTGTGTCCTGCAAAAGGACTCGGTAGAAATACTCAATCGGACCACAGAAAACCCACGCCCTCTCAACTAGAAAAAGTGTGGGATGGTGCTTTTTAACCAACCTAAAGTCAGCCCCAGTTCTTATTCTGTGGTTGAAATAAATATCTTAAACTTGAACGTGGACCAATATCAGAGTTACTTAAGGTGACGCGCTTGGAGCTTCGGTTCGCTGTCGCCTTGTAGCCAACAGGGCTTATAGAGTTTTGGTGTTTCTCTCGCGAACTTAAGGGAATCTAACTTTACTTTTTACCACAGTGTATGCATTGTATGTTCGCCCTGATCTTGAGGTGTCCTCATAATTGAAAAAAGACATAGCTACCCTAAAAGGGGTTCAGAGAAGAGCTACAAAGAAAGTGATTGAGTTGCGGTACAAATCTTACCTGGACCGCTTCGTTGCTCCTAAGCTGCACTTAGTATCATATCGGAGAAGCAGAGGGGATATGGTCACACATGCCGCATCGCACATTATCCCCTTCATCCCAATAGATCCCTCCTTGGCTCTAATCAAAAACATTACTTTGTGGGTCATGCATTAGGAGCAGGGCGTGAGACAACTAAGTTATCTGCAGTCAGTTTGCAAACTGTGAAATTCCTCTCCTTCGGAAATCGTTACGGATCGAACCCCTGACACTTTCAAAAGGAGGTTAGATGCACAGTTAGTGTCGTGGTACCGGTTGGCTGTACTCGAGACTTTCCGTTATCTACAGATCAGTAGGAGTAATACCTTGAGACCGGCTCAAGTAATAACTGATAATCTCCACCCTTTCACTTTTTTGGGCCCAGGATGACAAGTGTCACCATCCAAATATAGGAAGCACTCCAACAAAACGGATATAGAACTTGAGGCACAGCCCTTCACTAATTCTACGACAAGAAGTTTGAAGTATGAAAGAGAAGCACCTATGGAAAATAAATATTACTAGAAATGTCGTGGAGAAGCGATGGGTCTTAAGGCACATACCAGGATCAGAGAATGGAGTGAGGGTGAACACACCTTCAGTTGATTAATGTTTGTGGCCGGCCGTTTGCACTGGCGAACTTATCGAGTAGTCGTCTGGAGGAGTCAACTGATGTAGCTATAGCTCCTGCTTTCAGCAGGGCGTCCCATCTTTACCAACTGGTGCCATAGCGGATAAAATTTTGGCAATACTGCTGGTTTATGACCGATAATGTTGACCTATTGGGGTGGTCTACCCGGTGCGTTGAGTTGATTCTTCTTGCAATAAGGCACTAACTTCCGAACATGTTTTCTGTTTGAGAATCAGACCTTTTAGCGGATATTATTTCAACTGTGTGAGTGAGCCCTATCTACTTATCAGTTTCCAGCCTTGGTGAATGCTGCATGCACGGTCTGTTAATCTATTAAAGGTTGGAAAGGTAAAGAAGCTAACTGCTACTGATAAAACAAATGTCTACAAGGCTCTGCATGTCGTCAGCGTCTTCATCGAACAAGGCTGTCATCTTCTTACTCTACATCCAGTAATGAGTCCCCAGTGATAAGACCAATTCCTGTCAGGTAATGGAGGCCCTACCTCTATTTACCTTTAGGGATGGCAGTCAACTACCAGTTGGTCTATTCCACCCTTCTTTCCAGCTGTCACTCCTGCGAGTAAATAACAGTCCCTCCCTTCTCAAATGTCTCACTACTCTGTTCGTTTCAGACACCGTGATAATGCTGAGCAACAGTGCACTGCAGCCTACTGTCGTTACCTTCTCCATAGCTTCACGTGATTGCTGTACAAGCTCCTTTGAGTGAATATTTTGAGAGCTCCCGCCCATCATTTTACTTGCAGGCTTCATTCACTAATTCAGAAGAAACTACTGAGATCTGGTGGTTCATTTTAACCACTCTCCGACAGCCGACTACGTTCGACAACGCCATGCTACTGTAGATTGGAGTTGGCGTCAAACTTCTTCTGGATTGGAGGTAATGCCCCGTTCCAGTAGCTGTCTAGCCTATTTCTAGTAGACGGTAGCCGTATCACCGGATAGCCCTCAAGGTAGTTTGCTGTTGTAGCTTCCTCACTTTGAATTAGGTGGACATAGGTATGAAGGCTGTCGCAATCTTCCACCAACCCGATCCAGCGGTACCCAACAGGGACATGGTCTACATGTCTTGACTTTTGAGTTGAGATTAGTGGATGGCATATCAGCAAATTTTTGCTGGCTTAAAATCGATGATTGTCTGGAGGATATTTTAGGAGACTGCCGCTATTGGAAATACATGTAATAAATGGCTGGGGCTTTGTCCCCTTGATTACTCTTCTTATTTGAGGCGCTGTATCAGATTCCGTTCACCACTTGTGGATACTAGCGGCCTACCATCCCTGTCACCAACAAACCAAATAACCCGACGGGGGACACTGTTGCCACCCACCATAGGCGATCTTTTTTTAATAAACGGTGTCAGCTGCTGCGAAAATTAAAAGATTACGGTTGTAGCGCCTTAGTGATACGAGTACAAAGAAGACAAAATGAGGATATCACCAACCTGAATTGGATAAATGGAAACAGAAGTCCTACATGCAGAGCAATTGTTCACTACCCCACGCAGTGTTAGTAATGAGAAAACTGTGAGTGACTGACGACCGCGGCAACTCCCGAAATCGAAGTCTGGTGTTGTGAGCCAGTCGGGTTGCTTGACTAAGTGTTCCGATGATCTTGACATCCTGACACTTTGTGGTAGATCGGTACTGACCCAGGTGTACTGACTACACACCAAACGTCACTGCCCATTGCTTTCCTGATCTATCGCACTAACACTATAACTCTGATGGTTTCTTCATTCTGTTCATCAAACGTCATTTCCAACGCCATAGAATACAAGTCTACCTACCTCCTCACGAAACTAAATACATGAGAGCACCTTTGGGGGTCCTTTATGCTTTTGTCCACCAAAAAAAGTGTTGGATCACCAAACCGATGTGTTGTACTTTTGATTCTGATACTTTATCTGTCAAATTTGTCATTCGTCCTCAGAATTTTATGTCAACGTCCCAAGGTCATTTCACAGGCCGTTGCTTTCAAACAATAAGAAGCACGAAGTTAAGTTCCATTCTTTGGTCGTGTCCGACTACAAATATATATGGAGAATCAAATTATTGTTTTTTTGCGGATTTACTAAGTACAATAAATGACACTTGGAGTGAATGAGGGACGCGGCTGACTTGTTTTAATTGCATTACGATGGGTACTTTATAAACCTTATGTGCTGGGAATACCGGAGGTTTTTATAATAAGAACCATGAAACACTAAAAATTGAAAAGTATTTAGATAATGTGCAGAATGAGTGAACAATGAAAACGGCTGGTCACACCAAAGAGCAGTATTAGGTACAGCAATGATATTTCGAGAAACTGAAGAAAAGACCATGTGAACAATAAGACCAATCACTTTATAAAGTTAAGAGAAGAAATATAAGATGTGGAACGTGTTTGAATTCTTCAAATAATACGCCTTTCCAAAACACATCAGTTGAACTTTGTTAGTGCATAACGGATGCCCGTACGACGTGCTGTATAAAGAAAAAAAATGTGATGGGTAGTCTATGCGGAGCAACAATGTAACTATTGTCAGCACTCAATTAAACAAGAAGAAATATGCAATGATAAAAACTGGCCAGGCCATAATGTTACTCCCGGAAACAAAAGCGAGTTTCCAACTAGTAAACCTGCCATAAAACACACAGGTAGTTATAGGAATCATATATACCTTCCAACTAATTGTGTTTCATTCTAAAGTGATGCAGTTTTTACCCTTCAGAGAGTGGAGCTGGGGTTTAGTCGTTTGGGGAAACGACTAACAACCAGCGGGTCAGGGGTTCAAACCCGGCTGCAGTGACCGAGATTTGGACACCTACGTGGCATCAATAGCTTTCACACAATAGCTATGGCTCGTCGCCTGTTGCACGAATGTGCACAAGGTAACTCAGTGCGTTTCATTTCGTTCGTTCGTATTCTTCCAGATGATTAAAATAAAAGGGTGACCAGGAGCATTCATTCACCGGAATATGTCGGATTGAAGAAATTTTTTAAAGCGTGCGCTAGTTCAACTCCGAGTTCTACTCACTAAATACCGTGCACCTCCGCTTTGAGGATTTCGTGGACAGTAACTGTTGTGAAAATCGGTTATGTCTGTTTAATTTAGAGAAGTTATACAAATCATCACAAAGTTCTTCATTCTCATAATCAGTAGAAAATTTAACCTGAATACATACACTTGTAGAGTATAAACAAAATCATGAGATTATAATGAAAACCCACGTAGATATATGGGATCATTCTCAAAGAATTGAACACTTAAAGATTAACTTCAAAAAGTGAAAGCAAGTTGAGATGGAGTAAGGTACATTGACACGACTACAAGCCTCATTCGCACAGTCAATCGTTCATTATTTACTGACAACAAATGAGGTAAGATAATATAAGAAAATTCCACACTAACGAAAAGCTAATCGACTACAAAATATAGTTTGATGGAAATTTGAACTTTGTCGCTGGATTCTACGCATCAATGTGAAGCGGACACTCTAAGTGTTTTACAGTCAACAAACTTTCCCCCCTTTTAACAAGGCTGGAAGTACCACAAATCGATAATCTTGAAGCACGCTGGTATTAACAGTCTAAGTACAATACTGTTTACATTGTTAACCTAGGAATAATTGATGACTGCCAATATAAGACCGATGCTTTAAAACAGCTACTTTGCAAGGGTTCAGGGTAGGAGAACACAAACAAACAGCAAGCAAAATGATGTTATAAATGAGTAACATAGATCAGCTGCATACAAAAGTAAACTTTGTGACTGCTGTTTTACATGGTCAATCAGTGTTTATTTAAACAGTCGATGCTTGCTGCACATTGTGAACCATTCCAATGAGTTATTTTCACACACAAGATAGAAACTGATAACAATATATGCACAAATTAGACAGTAAAGGCGTAAGCAATGGTGACTACACAACAGAAAGCCTGGTAGCTGTCACAACGTATACCTGAGTCAGGTACTAAAATAAATCACCTTTATACCTAGAGTGTTGGGAATCCCATTGACTGTAACAATCAATAGTAACAGTTAACTCTATCATCATGTGAACATAACCTAACAATGTTTGTATTGAAGCCGGTGGATATAAAATGAATTCCGAAACTATAACTCGTTGGTGAAGGACTGATTATTTCAACGAATAAGTGACCATGTTATAACAATTTGTGTTCAAAAACTTAATGTTATTGGTGACGAAGTAGTTTATATAAATTTGCGAGTTTGCGTCTCGGTAACATATATTACTACAAAATCTATGCGAAATGAAAATCAAAAAAAAGAGTAGTTTTTTTTAGTACATTCAAGGCTTGATTAATAGTATCTGTGCAGTCTTCATTTTTCTAAGTCATCGTCTGACAGACAAATGAGTCCATAGTACTACGCGTTATGATTTCTGGCATTCATAAGAAATAGTTGACTATAATCCACGAAATTCATATTTCGCTACGTCTGTTAATTACATTATAAAACTAGGTCTTCAAGTCATGTACAGCTTCTGGTAAGGCTGGACAAAATGTAGCCGACATTTTCTTGATAGCTTTCAGGATAAACTGGCATCAGTTGGAGAACCATTGAAAAAATATAGGGGATACTGAGCAGATGTTTCATTTTAGTCCGAGACTTCTCAGAAAAGAGCACCCACGACACTGAGAATAATGACTGAGCCCAGGCAAACCAGTCCTCACGAAGAGCACGCTACCATTAAGTTCCTGGGCGAGAATCTAGTGGTTTGCATTCTCCTCAAGACCTAAGAGTCCTGCACTGATCTCTCATGAAGTCATGGCTACACACTGCTGAGAATTCCTAAACCAGAACAAAACAGCCTTCCAACGCTCCCACGTTTTAATGGTTATCTGACTGATGTCAGTTTATGATGAAAACTTACCTTGAAACCAATCAATCCTCACAAACTGCCAATTGAAATACCCAATGGTCAATGCAGACTAGTCAATTGTACACTGTTTATTGACGATAGTATTGGTTAACGCGTTATATCACTGACTGCGGGTAGGTAACGATGCGGTTCAAAAGTGTGAAGAAATAAGGTTTTTATTCCCCGGAAATGATCAATAATCTATTAACTTTCATTAGCACCTTAAGCAGATTTTCTGACATAAGCGAACGATACACAACAATATGAACAACATTATAAACGTATTAAATATTGTCCAATATTGTGGATAAATCACGAGACTTAGAATTTAGGGGGAAATAAAAAATAACCGAAGACCAAAACATAGATATCATATAAAGGTCAAAGTGTGCTCAGATTTGAAGATAATTACGAATTTAACAAACTTGTGAGTATCTACAAACGAAGGATAAAAAGTGCGGTGTACACAAGAATAAGTGATAAAGTAAATAGTAGATACATAATCTACACTCGAAACGGTCATTTGAATTGTTATTAATAAACGGGGTTACCAGTGAGGTTTCATTGATCAAAGTGCATTAAAAACTATTCTCGAATACTTCAAAGTAATAAACTTAATCATATTCATTAAGTATACCGTCCTAGGCAAGAAAAAAATCATTTTGATATTTCTATGTGACAAATCTGTGCAATTTAATGAGCCACTCTCATTTTGTCTTTATTTCACTGCTGAAGCTGAAGTAAGCGGAGTGGCGCTTGAAAAAAATCTTATCACTATCGCTAACGTGATGCTTGAGTGTCAATCAACAAATGAGCATAATGTACAACAGTTCCTTCTGTCTAATTAAATAGCTGACATGCAGCCATATAGACAAGAATATACTGCAAGGCTATAGGTTTTCGTATGAAGCAAACACCATACGAGTGATTTCAGAATTCGACGTAAAATACAAAGGCAGGGAAGGTGTGAAATTTCATCAACTGGTTTCGCTCGAGCATGTGTTGGGCAAGTTCACCTATCATCTAATTTAATAATGAGCTATTTGTGTTAGACAGTATGGTTACATATGAAAAAAGTTAACGATAGCCACAGCAAGCACGACAAGGTGTCAACCCATGAAGTCTCTGACTGCTGATATCTCTGTGGTGTATAAAGATGTAGGCTATGTAACTGGAATGATCAAAATGATAGAAATTAAATGGTTAAAGACTATTGGTGATCTGGTTTAAATTCGATCATACAAATTTTCAACTTCTTGTGAACACGATCATGAGCAATAAACTACGCTCGAAACGTAACCCAGTAAATAATGTGCTGTATCAAATAAACTAATCTTCTAGAGAATTATACTCTACCTCAACGCTTAAGTTTTACGCTTATATTGATAAAACGCTATCAAAATCCATTGTAAGTATGAAGAGTTTGCAATCAGTCCCATGATAACTGTCATCAGAACAATAGTTGTGCAGTAAATACATTGCATGTTAATTTTTCATTGAAAAGACATGTATTAAAAAATATACATAGAAAGGTTGGGTTTTATAGGTGTTAACAATAGTCCTATGAACTGAATAAAGACCAGTATAGTACACCAATGGATGAATTAGAATTATCCACAGCAAAATAATATAAAAATCTATTAATTGTGAAAAAAATTAGTGCACTGATACAAAAACTAAGGTACTGCAAGTTGGGTCAAGAAGATAAGAATATGTTTAATTGTGGCTGGCAGTGAAATACATTCATTCCTAGACTAGCCACAACTAGACAAGTTACCATAATAACCATTTAGGCAATATGGAGGCATCGGGATACCAGCTCATATGCCAATAGAGGTCAAACAATTCGATCCAATAAAACAACAGAGAATTACAAGTATATCAATAAATAGTAACAAGATAAGAGTTGTTAAAAGAACAGTCCTGAAAGGAGAAGAAAGTAAGTAAATTCCTTAGCATGCATAAACAAACATCTACCATCAAAGATCGTGTATGATCTAAGTACTGTAGAAGTTCTCACTATACTAACAACTTGGTCCTAGTCAAAGACGTAGATATGAATATTATTGTGACAAAAGATGACCGCATACAGATTTAATAACTAGGCTAATAAAATCAGAATGGCTAACCAAAGTATTCCTTGCATCCAAAATGTTATCAAACATACGAGAAATATAACTGCTTTCTTGAAACATAAGTGTGAGTGGGGTTTCCACTTTTACTATTACTCCATATTATGAAAACAGTATCTTACTGATCTATTTTCCTAGCACAAAATTAAGTCAGTCTGAAAATCTTCAAGAGGTGTACAATTGAATGATTAAAACCTCGAATACGCAATATTCAGAATTATAATCAAAACCCAATGTGATGGTTTGATAAAAGGTATTCTGGTCTCTTAAACTATAATTACTGTTATTCTTTATTGAGACAGAAAACAACGAGCTGTCTCACAACATTAATTTGTGGAAAAAATGACAACTAATACGACTTCCAGAGGTGATCGATAGATTTACTTACCGGTGGAAGTGTAGTTTTCTCAGAAGACGATATATACAAATGCCAAAACTCACATGCGTAAAATACTATATAGTTAT